CACTATTTTGAACACATAATGTTTTGGGAAGAGAAACGTTTTATTTCGCTGGGTCTAGCAAACCTGCCGGACTACTTTCAGCTTGACCAAAACTGGACGAGAACTCTGCTCACAGAACGCTGCCAGGGGTAAGTCAGTGTGATTGCATGACACTGGTGATGGGGATGCCATACAGATTCATGTCAAAAATACCGAACTATCCCTTTAAAACTTCTCTATCTGTATAATGGATCTGTTTTGTGTGGTGTCTCATCAATTAAGGGGGCCCCCTCCCTGTCTTTGTCTAGGGCCTCAAATTTCCTAAATCTGCCCCATGTTTCTTTCAACTGTAGTTTAACCCCAAAGACAGACATAAAGCAGAAAACTGGGAAATCACTGTCTGCTTTTCTGTTTTTCCAGTATTAAATCAATCAAAAATACATAAAGCCATGAAAAGTGACAAACTAGAATATCTACAACAACTTTATATAAATTAAAAGACGTTTTAACATACTGTTTTTAAAATCCATTAATAATACTAAAGTCTTACCTTCATTAGTTCTGATCTTTGATTTTTCGAAAGGAGTGACCTTGTCATTGTTATCACCAGAGAGCTGAAACACACATTCATATTTGGTCCCGTCCTCAGATGATGGAAGTTTCAGGTCAACGCTCATCTGGAAGGTTCCATCATTGTTAGGGAGGATCTCTCCTTTCTCCACACCATCATGGATCTCTGCTCCATCTTTCCTCCAGAACATTTCTGCTCTGTTGGGGTAGAAACCTGTAGCAAAGCAGCTGATTGGAGAGGAGGAAGACTTCTGGAGGATGGAGACTGATGGAAGATCTGGAGATGGAGACAATTAGAGTTTAAATATAAACTGCTTAGGGATTAATAGCCAAGTGATTTAAAAATTTGAAGCTGCATAAAAGCCATAAAAAAACTAAGTCCCATTTAAAATGTAGTGAAAATGTGAAAAAAAAAATCCCTTTGAAAATTTCTGGCAAGTTAAATCATTTAGATTAACAGTTGATCTAATAAAAATCATGAAAAGTGACTCTACCTGTTCTCATCAGAGAGCTCCTCCCATAGTTTACATACTTCTTCAGCCACTCAGGACACTCTTGGTTGAGATAGTTCTTCCAGTACTCCAGATTAGCTCTGTCACTGTTCCATTTGTTTGTAGTAAGTAAAGCCTGTGGTTTTGGAGCAATCCAGGTGTTTTCCTTTAAGTCCAATGATAGCCAGTCTTCCCCATCATAGCCATGCTGGTTAAAGCCAGTAACCTTTCCAGTGTCATCATCCCACTCACAGCCGCACATGAACTGGACAATGTGGACACCTGGAAGACAGGAAATACAATATCACTTTAGTTGAGGAAAGTTTATTTTTCAAAGAAACTTTCATCTTGAACAGCTTTACTGCATGCATAGTTTAGTTACACTGATAAATGATCTGTGATTTCATATAAACCAAACTGTTGGTATGAAGGGATTGTGGAAGATTATGGATTAAGTTAACCTCATGATCTATTTAGTTTTCTGATCTCTGCAGCTTCAGTCTCTGTTCTCCATCCTCCATCAGTGTCTCTGATCTTCCTGCTTCCTCTCAGTCTCTAATGTTTCAGCTGATCGTCTCTCCTCCATTTCTGTGTTTCTTCTCTAAACATAGAAACATACAGAAATGTCCACAGATCTCCTCACTAGAACCAGAACCACTGACCCAGGAGCTCCTTCTCTATAAAGCAGCTCCATCTAAAGCAGCTGTTGATCAGGATGGTTTTTCCAGATGTTTCCTCCTGATCAGAGGAAACCTGATTAAAGCTTCAGTCCAACAATAAACTGTCAGTGATCAGTGAGACAGTCTGAGCTGCTTCCAGCTGCCATCAGGATGATCTTCCAGCTGCTGATCAATAAACTCCCAGTTTAGCTGCTCTCAGCTCTTTATTTCTCTGTTTGCTTCCAGACGACTGAAGGAGCAGAAACCTGATTGTGTCTCATGAAGCTTCCTGCTAACCAGACCAACTGGGTTTCTGCTCTGAGCTGCTGAGACGTTTGTTCCCTGAGATGTTTGAAGAACATGGAGGACATGATGGAGAGAAAAGCAGCTTCATCCAGCAGCTGCTGCTGGAAACAAAGAAGCTGCAGCAAAGCGCCTCGACCGTCTGAACGGTTCTACTGGGTTTGATCCAATCTGCTGAATCTGAAGGACAAACTGCTTCCAGCGTCTCAAAGTTCTGCTTCCCTCTGAACCCAGAGATGGTTGGACCTGCTCTGCTCCACTGGATGCAGCTGGAGGAGGTTCCTCACTGAGAGCAGAACCACGTCTGGGTTTAACGTTCCTCTCATGTTCCTCTGAGGTGACCTGCTGGTTCTTCTCCAGCAGCAGAGGTCCAACTCTTCTCTCCCAGCATGGAGCAGACTAATCATCCCGTCTCTGTCTCATTTCTGTCTCTGAACAGACGGAGGAGAAAAGCTGCGTCTTTAACGAAGGTTCTGGACCAGAGCGGTTCTGATCCACAATAAACGACCTGCTGGACTGAGGTCAGCTTAACAGAACCGGGTCAGACTGTCTGACACATGTTGGCTCTCAGCTACAGTTTCTACATCTGAACCAGAACCAGTTTGGACCTTAGTTTCAGTTTGGTTCTAGATCCTGATCCACCAGCTGAGGGTCAGCAGGAAGGGAGGCGACAGGTCAAAGGTCAGGAAGCTGGAGAACAGCAGAACATGTTCCTGAAGGTTCTGATGTCTGGAAGGTTCTGAAGCGACTGTCAGTGATGGAGACCCAGAGAGGAAATCATCTCTGATCTCAGGTTTTAGGTTTGATTCTTCATTTGGACTCATTCAGGATTTTTCTGCTTGTTTTTGGTTCTTTGACCAAATATGGAAACATTTCAGGATTTTATTGATCAGAGAATCGATTCTATTTCTATCTGATGTCATTTTATTCATTCATAGATTTTATTGATCATTTTTTTCCAGCTAATTCAGCATCAAACGGATCATTGATGGTTCTGACAGAACCGACAGCCTTCAGTCATTCTGACCTGGTTTCATCTCATCTGGACTTTATCTACCAAACAAACTGGTTCTGTTCAGTAAAGTTCTGCTGCTGGTTCCTTTCAGTCCAAATGGGTCCATTTTACTGATGTTCTGTCTGTTAACTGGATTTAAACTCATTTCCTCTGAGAACAAACGGATCTTCCTGCAGCGTCTCCATCCTGCTCGGTGCCGCTCAGCTCGGTCCAGAATCTGGTTCTGATGGAGCGGGTTCCTGTGGGTCGGGGCGGTTCAGGTAAAGTTCTGGTGGAAAAGTGTTCCTGATATCTGTTGGTTAATGTGAGGCGAACAGAACCACTGAGTTCTACAGAGGTTCTGGTCTCAGAGGGTCTTCAGCTGTGGGAGATTCTTCCTTTGGTTCTGTTCTTCAGCCTCTAACAGCAGAACTGGGTCATGGTCTGGTTCTGCTGGTTCTCCTCCAGTAGAACCAGTTTAACGCTTTACTGGAACCAAGAAGGATCCAAACCTTAACTTTTTCATGACCTTTGACCTTTGCAGGACCTTCTGATTGGCTAACGGTCACCTTTCAGCCAATTAGAGTCCATTTCCTTTCTGATCCTGATGAAGATGATGGAGCTTCATCTGAGCTTCTAGACCAGAACCAGAACCAGAACTCCTGATCCTTCCTCTAACATCTCAGCAGCTGAAGCTGCTCAGAGCCTTCATCAGTTCAGGAGCTTCCTCTTCCTCTCTGCAGACCTGAACCTGCAGCAGGTTTTCTAGAAGCTTCCACTGAAGCAGAGTTCATCTCCAGGCTTTGATCCCTGCAGGAACATCAGCACAGAAACAGCTTCAATGTTCCAGCTGAGATGGATCCTCTGTGGTTCTGAAGGTCCATCATTCCTGCTCCTCTCCTCTGATGCTCTCACAGCTCTGCTCTCTCTGCAGCTTCAAGGCCAACAGATCCCAGAAGAACCTTCAGAGCTGAAGAT